ACCAGCTTCATGTTTGACGACAACATTTTTATTAGATTTTCAATCCCAATTTTGACTAGACGGAACTAAAGTACAAATCCTTTCTTTTAAGATAGTTTTGCAGATATACTTAGAGTCATTGTCAGGGCTGGATCATAACATTTGGGGATAATGAAACTATGGAACTACACTAACTTGCAGCAGTCTTGAATATTTTAGGGACATTTACATATGAATAAACTTATTGAAAATGCTTTAAATAGACTAGAAGAGCTTTTTTTTGTTAATAAAATATTATTTAATAAATATCACTAAGTTACTTTTACTGCAAACCAAATTCGCACATATTTAACTCATCCATAGTAAAAAAAAACAAGCATTTCTTATAACCTGTATTATAATAATAAAAGAAAATGAATGTCATATTGATATCATTTCAGTTTATGAAACTATTTAGAACTTTTAGCATCTAAAAAAATAAAATAAAATAAAATAAAATCACGGCTTTATAAACTTTTCTAAGATTTAAACATTCTGAACTAAAATCAAACATGATAGCTACTTGAAACAAAATTGTACAAATTGAAACAAATTGAAATAAATAGAAAGTTGCTATATTGATATCATTTCAGTTTATGAAACTATTTCGATCATACAGAAAATTAAAATCATTGCTTCATAAAAGCTTAAAGGCTGTAATCTATACTAGCCTAAAGGATAACTCGGTCCTGTTCATAGTCTTACGATAAAATTAATTTCCAGTAAACGTTCAACTAAACTAATAGCTAGAAATTTTGATCCAGAATTTGTTGATAGAACAGTGAATTCATGTTGTCTTTGTATAATATGGATTCCTCTAACTCCAGAGGCAGAAAAACACTCTTAAAATTTAAGATTTCGCACCATTTTTCGCTGTTGGAATGATGTTTTGTACTTGGTGTGACGTGACTGCTTTTCTTCAAACATAGCATTTTTTATTGCGACTAAATATTTTTTGATGTTGACTCTATCTTTCCAGAAAATGAACTTCCAGAATATACCTGGTTTATCTGGTGGTTCTCTGACAAAATCTAAGCGGTTCGATATGTTCTTTGATGACACCAAAGGCTTCTTGTCTAGCAACGCTTCAACAATGACATGTAAATTAAATTTTCATATCATTGTTGACATATGTACATTTATTCAAGATGATAACAGAGATATCTACAACTCTCTCGAGATGATGCGTGAGTTGGACATTACCTGATGTATTATAAAATCTAGTTTTTCTTAGTGATAGTTTCGATGGGCGTCCACATTTTGGCATTGTTCCGGTCGTGTTGACTGTAAGCCACTTGCAAAATATTTGTATCATAGTAGATGGATGAAGTAGCGGTCTTTTTAATGTGGTTTTATGGCCTTCCCCGGAGCTGATGTGCTCATTTATGTACTATCCTCAGGAAATTCTTTAAATTTGAGGCCATACGTTGCCATTATTGTAACTTAACTTGTTTACTTTATCTATTAATCTACGTTGCCCAACCAATTTACCAAGTATGTCTCATTTGATTGGTCAGCTTCAATTGAATAATTAAGCCCCCAAATTTATTTCAACTGAACTTATTGTCTACTTGACTTCACCAATACAAATTCGGGTTCACATAATTATGCACGCGCCAAATGTTTAGTTTCGGGGGAATAAACAACATATTTTGAATAAATAATTAATATATATCTTTTTATTTGTTTGTGTTAATTATTTGAAGTTTAATTGTTTCGATGGATATTTAAAAGGATTATTTTAATCGTTTCACTTTATAATGGTTATGTCTTGTAGTTCACAAACTTCCAGGAAGGACAGTATATGAAGCATTACTAATAAATTATTATTTAAAGAAAAATTTAAAAATCCTTTAAAAGGTTTTGGATGCATCAAACGAAATGACCTAGTTACTGATCATCAATAATACCAACTAAATTAGTCTACATAATTTTTCTTTATATAATAATGCCCCCAAATCCTCTAAAAACATTGTACACGCATCAGCCACCATAAACAATTATCGCCAATGCGTTAATTGGGTTAACAAATAAATGAGCACCCATATTCAGGAGATTATTTTTAATGTTATGGTCTAAATCAATGCACCTCAAATTTTTCAGTCCATGAACCATATTTCTTCAAAAACTTTAAGTGGACCACTCCTTTTACTTTTACTTGTAGGTTGTTCAATTTTCACACTAAAATACTCATTGGAAAGACAAAGTAATCTATTTACAATTTAAATTTTATTTTAGTAAAGAAGAATAAAGTCTGGATATCAAAGTCAATTTTGATGATATCATTCAGTCTGAGTTTGTTAGTTTCTCTGCTGTTGAGACAATATAGTTTATATATATATATATATATATATATATATATATATATATATATATATATATATATATGATAAAAAATAAAATAATTATAACATTGGATAATACTTATGTAATTTCAAAATGTTCAAATATAATGGACATGTGTGTAATTAAACAAAATATTATACTTTTAATTCTTCAAAGTATGAATTATTTGGATCCATTATTGTGAAATGGTTACAATATTTTAGGGTTACGAATTTTCTGTGGACCACTTTGAGAAATACTGGTCTAAGTAATAGCATGCAATTAAAAGCATTTTAACATGAACTACTGCATTTTCATATGAAATGCTTAAAATTCCTGCTTCCTTATCCTAATCAACCATTATCTAATCATTGGTGGCATGATTCTTTTAAAGAAATCCACTCTGATTTTATGACACCTCTTCAGTACCTCCACCCTCTATTATAAGTTTATAAGTTGTTAGACATATAGACTGGATACATTTCACAAACAAATGGACAGTACTAATTTCTCAAATGTTATTTTTTTTTCTAGACATATCTCTGTTGATTTATTTTTGCTTTTTTCTTGGGTTTTCAGAGCCGCTTCTTCTATGTTCCGGCTTGTACATATATAGGGATTGGTCTCTTTCCATTAAATTGATTTTCAGATGGTTTCGGAAATGTTGTTATTGCAAATGACATTTATCTAAGAAATCGAAGCGTAATTTATCTTGTCACACTTTCAGCCATTTAATTAATATTTTGTCCCTTGGTCGTGTGAAATTTATTTCTGACATTTAGATAACACAGGAAACGGATTAGCTGAGTAGTGTGATACTAACCTAAAAATGAAAACGTAATTAACCTCGAAAGTGTTATAAGTGACAACGAAAGATACGAGACTCACTAGTGAATAATGCCATCGAATACTTAAACAAAATCTTAATAAACAGGAAGATTTCGTTAGAAACTGAGAAAAGTGTGTAGAACTTATATGCTATATCAATCTTTGAATCAGTGAATTCTAGAAAATTTCAGTGCAGATGGAGAGAAGAATTCGGGCAGTATAGATCCAAATCGTACAATATAATAGTTACCTGAAGAAGGCCACTGTCTATCACGGTCGAAATGTTGTGCGTATGGGCATGCTAGTTCGAACAACAGAACTTATATTATTTCTAACGTATAATGATCATGCTACCTTTAGATTTATATACATATTCAATAAGAGTCTGAATCTTGTTTTAATTAGTTGATTACTTATCAACTATTTTAGATTATTTGAAGCCAGAAAATATAAAGAGTGATTCATTAAGACGGATTATATATAATGGTATTTCATTAAGACGGATAAAAGTCAGCAGTAAATAAATCAGTGTTATTGGTTAAAATTTATTTATTTCTCTGTTGGATCATGTTATGTAAGTCACAGAAATTATGTGTGCAAAATAATATCACCCAAATTTCCACCAAATCTAAAGAAAAAAGAAAAAAAATCATCAGACACTTAAACTTAATTCACATTTAAAATCGGTCCAAATTATTGGAACATACTTTATTTATAATGTAACAATATTTTTATAGAGAAAATACTGATTTAATGATACAGTTCTTACTAATTAACTCAATTAAAACTTTTCCATAGGTATTTGCGCGTAAAGGAATATAATGAATCAAACTGCAATTGGAAATCAACTCTCCTCGCTGTTACACCACACTCACATTCATTCGTAAGCGGTTATCTATCAAAGTACTGACCAGGCTCGACGTTCCTTAACGCTGATTGTTTAAATGAAAATTATAGTAAAAAATAATCTGTCAATGCTTTCTTTTTTAATACTGCGTAATTAAATCAATTTTAATAAACATCTGTGTTTTAATAAATATATTAGTTTTTGTTTCGGGCAACCGGGTTTTCGTTCCGCTTTTCATGTCTCACCCAATAACTGCTAGACTCATCATAAGTTTTCCAAGTGTCCGATACTAATGGAAACTAATAACGGAATATGTTCATTGACAGACGGAGTTCACTGAACAGGAAACGGAAGACATTGTTGGTAAGTAACAAACTACAAATTACACGGTAAAAGCGAGTTGGCATCTGATGTGAATTATTGACATTGACATACACAGATTGGCACGTTTACATTTTTTCGACCCTAATGTAAATTGTTGATCGAAAACGGCCTTTGTCAATAGGAATCAGGCACGCACCGAATACTGCTGACTAGAAACAAATATCTAACTCCGGATGTTGCAAGCTAATTTCTCAAAGTCAGTCTCTTTGTTTCGGGGTATGGGTTGGTTCGTACTGATTTTCAGCACAAACATGACCTCTCATTTTTTTTTATTTTATTTTATGTGTTTTGGAGGGTATGTCATTGTCACATTTGTAGTCCACTCTGGCCCGATGAATCTCTCCGTCCATTCCATCATTCTGATGATTATGGTCTGACTTCTATTCATCACTTTTGTCTACACACATCTTCAAGGATGATAAACAAGCAGGCAAAGTTCTTACTCATCAATTACGATCAATGATGGCAACGCTTTGTAAGTGGCTACAAGATCACAAAGTGGCTGCGAAATAAATGACATCTTTAGTGTAATAAAATACTCTTATGAAAAGAGGTCTTTTTAAAGAAACGTTAAATATAGCTGAACCATTATCGCAAGATCTGTTACAAAAGAGAGGAACATTCAACACATTTTCAATGTGGTGACTTTTTTTTTATCAGTCAACATCGGCGTGTTCATGCTGTTCATACCCTTTTATCTATTTCTGTTCGTGATTATTTCCCACTCTCTTCTCTTCGTTCTCTTCTCTTCGGTCTCTCCTCATCTGTTCTCATGATCGTGTTGTCCAACCATTTCTCTGTATTTTCTTTTCTCTATTCCTGATCATTCTTCTTTTTTTTCCTTTTATTACTGTATCCATCCTTTTCTCCATTTTTTCTTTTTTTCTTCTGTGTAATATTCATCATTTTTCTTTATCTTCTTGATCTTCTTCTCTTTGGCTTCGATTCTTCCTCATGGTTATTCTATCTCATTTCTAGTTTGTCATTGTCTTCTTGCTTTTCATTTTCATCTTCGTGTTATCTCTTTCCTTGTATTTCCCCCATCCCTTATCACATTCCATTTCCTTCTTTTTCACTGTTCCTCTTTTGCCTGCTTCCGTTATTTTTTTTTTTTGTCTTTTCGTTATTCTTTCCATTGCTAGTCATAATATATCTACACCTCTTCGTAGCCATTTTTGTTTTATACTGGTTGTCCATTTTCTTCTCATTCTTTCTCTCTTTTTATTAGAAAGCATTTTCCTACATTCCTTTCTTTTTCTTCTTCTTCTTCTTCTTCTTCTTACATTTCTCTTTCTCTCCTCTTTTTCTTCTTTTTCATTATTAATATTATCAAAATTCACTCTTTGCAATCATTGAGTTTTCTCACCAACAAAATGTCTGCTTTCCCTTGGTATCAAAGACAGCATGTCTACTCAGCAACTTTGTATTCTTAATATTCCCGCAAGTTTTCGTAATACTGACTACTAGCGAATTTTTGTTATTTCTTTACATTTCCACTTCATTTATTCTCTTTTGTCAAGGCTGCTAAGGAACATATGAAGTGCGCCTAATAATGATGCTTGCAACGGCTCGGTTCATGTTCCACATTGACTTATATACTTCTTGTATTTCCAGATATTTTTTCAAGCTTTTCAGTACCATTCTACTTCATTCTGACGGCAGCTAGAAGATCAACCTACACACTCTTTCGGATCTTGGCTCTATTTACAATGTCAAGAATTGACTTCATGATCTGGAACATGTAATAATATATTTTCAAATTCCATTGTGTTCTTGTTTAAATGTATGAACCTGCTATAAATCATCGTGTTCACACTGTTTGCACAGTTCTCGATTAATCACAGTTTCTTTGTTCTCATATCCATACTTGGTTTCACTAAATTTGCAGTGTTTACTTATTATTATTGCTATTATTAGTAGTAGTATTAATAGTAGTTGTTGTAATAGTAGTAGTAGTAGTCCTAGTACTGTTTTTGTTAGTGGTGTTGGTGTTACCGTGAATTCTGACTGTGCCATAGGTAAGTGTAATAGATATGTGTAATAGGTAAGTTTCAGGCTTGCAAAAAGCGTGTAAAGTTTTCACAATTAATGCTTATCCGTCTTTTCCCTTTTATTCTTTCTCTTTTTCTTCATCTTTTTCTTCTTCTTCTTCTTCTCATTATTATTATTATTATTATTATTATTATTATTATTATTATTCAGCGATAAAACAGAAACCGGTCAAATAAAATTGGGGCATGAATGTAGGAGGCCCTATATATAGATCATGGCATCCAGTTCCATTAGGGTTGTCAAGGAACCCCGATCAAAGAAAATGAATGCGATAAGGTAACAGGTTTATTATTATTATTATTGTTATTATTATTAGTGGTAGTAGTAGTACTATTCGTAGAAGTAGTAGTAGTAGTAGTAAGTGAGAGTGCAGGACACCAAAAAAGATACGTTGGTGTACAATTATACGAAACCCAAACATGACACACAATTTCTTAAGTAAAACCGTATAACAAGCACTTGTATCACAGCCAGATATGATCGATATGGTAAAAGGTTTTGCTAAAATCAACACATAACCTGGTAGTTGTGGCTTAGTTAGAAATATTTTCATATCGGCAGCACAGGCCACTTCGATTTACGCTATTCCTAAACATCTAATTAAACATTTCTTGGTGCAAACTTGTGATGAGAAATGGATTGTTTATAACAATCGTAAACGGGCAGTTGAATAAGCTGATTATGACGAAGCACACTTTCCAAAGAATTGTACAAACTGAAAATTATTTTGACTTTCTGGTCGTCCGCTATTGGTGTTATCCATTAGAGTTGAAGGGAACCTAATCTGCCGGAGTTTACTTTCAGCAACTGGATGAAATGAATATTTAATTAATAAAAATGCAACCGACACTGGTTAATTGTAGTGGACCAATTCTATTTAATGAAAATGTTCGGTCACATGTTGATAGGATGACACTACAGAAGCTCATCGAATTGAGATATAAGATTCTGGCCAATTAACTATATTTCCCTAATCTCTTGCCCAATGACTACCAATTCTTCAAGCAAGTTGACAATTTTTAAGCCAACAGACATTCCGTTACAAGCAAGAAGCAGGGATTGAATTCAAAGATTTCTTGACGTCCAAACATCCAAAGCCTTAATGTAAAGGCATTGTAAACGACTTGTCACTCACTTTAATGTATGCATGTCTAGATTTTTTTCTTCGTAGCCAGTGCTCCTCTTATTATAGGTATCACAGCAATTTTACGATAACGCATTTTTAATTTTCTCTATAAGAACCATGTCTGGTCGTTTATAACTTAATATGTATGGTAAAGGAAAACAATAATGACTCTTATTTACTTGTTCAGGACTGATGTTCATACAATTTTAAAGTGCGTAGCAGTCTGTACTATTGATATGCCTTTCAGTACATTACAAGAGACGTAGGGTGCATGGAAACAAGTTCAATGGCTTAAAATGTCTTAGATTCTTCCTCAATTTCTATAGGTGTCAGTCTCTTTAAATGTACCTTATGGTCTTCTTACCTTTCAGCTGTTAAGGGTATCAAATTTACATTCATATTCCAAAGGCTTCCTTTCTGGTGCAAGTTCTTCATATTTCATTACGTTTCAGTCTCTTTCTGTGTCCAGCATCGATTGGTTGAAATATCTGTATCGAGCCTTTTCCTCGATTTCTCCCCCATTACGTTTGCAAGTCACGTTTCTACTTTGGTAACATTTATAGAATAAGGCATCTGAATTTTAATATTCCCAAAATATTTCCTTTCTATATTATTCAAGGACAGATTTGGATTTTAATTAATTCTTTGAAAGGGTGGTCGAAGCCATGTCGGTTGTAAAATCTCCGTTTCTCAATTTCAACTCCTGTCTATTGATGCATCAATTTTTCTTTGAAATAGTCTGCTGAGTTTTCCATAGAGTTACATTTCTTTTCATCTTTGGATTCTATATTCTTTTTTTTCAAATTTTCTCTAATTTTTCTATTGACAATCGTTTATTCATTGTCCTGACGCTTCTTGCCTTTAATATTTTCTACAATAAAATTGCGTGTATTCGTTAAGTCCGTTGTATCAATGAAAAGTTGGCATCATCTAAGCATTCACCTTTTGTCCTTCGTTTTGTTTTTCTCTCTGTATAATCTGTCAGTATCGCTTCAGATTTATACTGTTTTTTTTTTCCTCATCATTAGCCTATATGTTCAGTAATCAATGTCGGTTCGTATTTCTCCCGCTGAAAAAAATCTCAACTGTATCTTATTATTACGTAAGTTATCGTACGCATTACGTTTCCTATGTTCGGTCGTGTTTCTGAAGTGTTCCTGGGAAATGTTTATTGCTGACACCCTTTGCCTATGTTTCATTTTCGTCAAAAGCTTTTCCAATAATGCGAGGTTTTAGCGATCATTTGTTGCTGTAAAACATATTGAATAATGATGGAAAATGAATGAAGAAAGTACACAAAAATAAAAACGTGGAATATTCTTACAGGAATTTTGACACTTTACAACGAGACGAGACTGACTAAGTTAGAAGTTCAAACAGGATATGTTATTGGTGGACATAATTTTCAATGCATACGACTTGATGTCAGACAGAATGAAAAATGAATTACATCATAGACACTTAGACAAAATAGTAAAGTGAGTGGAGAGGAGTAATCAATAAATGTAAAAGCCAGAAATTATGATTTTTAGTAAGAGGGAAATTTCAAGAAGACACCATCGAATTGGTAATGTCGGAATCGAGAAGAACAGTGACTATTCTGTCTGGGATGTGTTTAAAAGACCGGTGAAATTGTCACACTCGAATATGAAAAGGCATAGGAATAAGGAAATAGGCATTTTATAATCAGGTTTTACGCGATAAATTTGCTAGCGCCAGGTCCGGCATTAAATTACCTGACTTAGCATACCCAATAGTTTAACTTCACTTTCAAAGTAGCCTTAAGAATATTTTTGACCTTTTTCAATTTAAATTCTTTGGAAACAACGGTATTCTTGATGCCTTCTTTTAGTCTCAGGAACATTTGCATCGGATATAATCCACCCTTTCGCCCATCCATCAAGCCCATTGTGATTCATCCGTGAAAATTACTTTTACAAGCTCAATTTTCATGTGTTGCATTTTTCTATCTCGGCTGGTAATAGTTGTTTTGAGTTCACAGATAAAAGAACGTCAACACAGGGAATTTTAACTATTTATTAATCACGTCGAAGTATATATCTTCTAACTACTCACTGGGATCGCACTCCCTCAATTGGGGAACCATTTTAGACACGAAAGGAAACATGTTTACATTGTTTGACGGTTAAGAAACAACTCCATGAAAAACCTTTCTCGATTTATCATTCTCGCGCTCGCTGAGCCAATCAAAGTCGACTTCCTTACATTGTCTTTCATCTGACCCCAGAGTCAATATCAGAAAGACCAAGCAGAGATAACATTTTGCGTAAAATAATAGTCTTCTAAAATATTATTTAACATACCTTAACTAATCATTAAAAAAATTCATTTACGAAATTTCTTTCTACTATATTGCCGTAAATTTCTCTCTCCCTTTCCGTTTCTTGCAAAACGTACTCATTTAATTTCTCTTCAATGGCCCTTTCTCATATGATCCACCTGATATATACATATTCCTGAAAAAGAATGACCATAAACAACAAAACTCTGTACATTTTTTAACGCTTCACATACATTTCTTTTTAAACAAATAAAGAATAACGGACAATCCTTTATCCATTCTCATCTAAAGACAACAAATCAACGACTGCCTGGATACTAATCACTCCAATCATACCTGTAGTGAGCTTTGTTCTTGTTATGGGGCCCTCCCCTTTTCATATGTGGACTCTACCAGTGTTACTTGGACTGCTGCCGTTAAATACCCAGAGAGAGAGAGAGAGAGAGAGAGAGAGAAAAGAAAAGAAAAGAAAAGAAAAGAAAAGGAAAGAAAAGAAAAGAAAAGAAAAGAAAAGAAAAGAAAAGAAAAGAAAAGAAAAGAAAGAAAGAAAGAAAGAAAGAAAGAAAGAATATACGAACGGAGATAGAGTGAGGTAACCTCTTGTAGAAGTCAGTTACAGAGCACGTAGACTCTAAGGAAGTCCTACTTCGAGACTGTATATATCCATCTGTATTTGCTACTAACCGCGTTCCTGGATTTACTAATAGTATTACCCTTTGTATGATTGTGTAAATACATTTTATTTCTTATATTTAATCCTTGCGTTTGTCATTCCTTGGAGACCGAATTCATCTCGGAATCCACAACATTTCTCACAAATCAGCGGCTACCACTTCAGCAAACCAATATTCGCGAGAGGAACAATTCTTTGCCTCT